TGGACTGGGAAGAGCTCGACCAAAAGACCTCCTGGAGGCGATGTTCGACGGCAACCCTGAACAGTTGGCGTACTTCATGGTAAGAGGGCAAAAGTTTGTACCTCTACATGGACTCCTGTTCCCAGACGACAGCAGCCGGATTGACGTGGTGGCGGCACGCCTGAAAGGCATGGCAGCAACCTGGTATGTGGGTCTGCACAATAGCCGTGGTCCTGCACTGCGCGACATTCACGCGTTCATGTGGGCCCTCCGAGCGAGGTTCGAAGACCTAAACGCTGGTCAGAGAGCCAAAGCGTTTTTGCGCACCTTCAAACAGGGGCAGCAGATGGTTCGAGAGTACTCGGCTGAGTTCCAGAACCAAGCAGCTAAGCTACCCGACTGGCCGGAACACGTCCTAGTAGAAATGTATCGTGTGGGACTGAATCCAGAGATCCGTGAGACGGTACTCCGTTCGGTAGATCCGGTATCACTGTTGGCGTGGACCCAAGAAGCTGAAAATGCTGAACATCGCCTGCACACCCTACGACTTGATATGGCAGCGGGAGGCGGCAGGGTGAGCCAACATCTTCCCCTTCCCTCGAAGACCAAACCATCCCGACAAGCAGAGGCGATCCGAGAACAGCAGATGAAACAAGGCTTGTGCCTCAAATGCGGAGAACAGGGCCACTTCGCAGCGGATTGTGGCCAAACAAGCACCAGAGAGAAACAAACAACAGCCAAGCCGCGAATAGCTACTCTGGCGAAGAAAGGGTTGGGGAAACCCAAATTTGCCAAAGCTCTTCAGGCCTCACCAGAAGAGGATGAAGGCGACTCCAGTGAAACTGAGCGCGAACCGGCGGGAAACGGCCAGGTCCTGCTGTAGAGGGCGCACAGCAGCAGGACCCTCCTTTGGAGGCGCCAAATACGGTGAGCGAACCCCCCTCTCTGTTCTTTGTGACTGTGTCCCTGATGAATCCCCTTTTGGGGACTCATGTGCGTGTAAAAGCGCTGATTGACTCGGGGTGTGGCTTAATTAGCCCAGCAGTAGTCTCCGGGTTGGAAGCGGGGCTGAAGAAACTGAAAGACCCCTTAATATTCACCCAAATGGATGGGTCTCCCATGAAAGATCCATGTCTGTACGAAACTATGCCTTTATGCATGGGGGCGGGTGAACACTGGGAACAACGTTCTTTCATAATCACCCCGGACGCCCGGTTTTCCCTGGTACTGGGGGCCTCTTGGCTCTGCAGCCACGATCCCTATATTCTGTGGGAGGAGGGGAGGATTGACTTTGTGTCACCCAAATGTGAGGGGCACAAATGGCAAGACGAATGGGGGAGCAGTCCGACAAAAGACCATCCATTCGCCCTCCTCATTAGAGAAGAAATTTCATCCCTCCCCTACGAGTATCAAGATTTGGCCCCTGTATTTGGCGAGGAGGAGGCAGACAAATTGCCACCTCATAGACATTCGGACTGCAGCATTAAATTGATCCCGGGGGCCAAATTACCCAAGGGAAAGATTCATGCCATGGGGCCAGCTGAGGAGGAGGAACTCCAGACCTTTCTGGATAAAAATCTGGCCCGGGGGTTCATCCGACCGGCCTCATCCCCCTTTGTGGCACCAGTACTGTTTCTAAAAAAGAAAGACGGTGGCTTGAGACTCTGCACGGATTACCGGGGTTTAAATGCAGTGTCAGCCACAAACGCTTATCCCATGCCGTTAATCAAAGACCTACTAGCAGAGGCGGCGAAAGGGAATTTTTTTCCCAAACTTGATTTACGGGACGCTTATTTCCGTGTTCGCATCAAGGAAGGTGATGAGGCGAAAACTGCTTTCAATACTCCGTTGGGGCAGTTCGAGTATCTAGTCATGCCATTCGGGCTTCAAGAGGCCCCGGGGGTCTTCATGAACTTGATCGATGAGGTGTTACATGAACACTTGTTTAAGGGGGTCATTGTTTACTTAGATGACATTTTAATTTATTCCCCCGACCTCCCCTCACACGTAAATATGGTCAGAAAGGTCTTGAGTACGTTGCACAAGCACAAACTGTTTGCCAAGCTGTCCAAGGGCGAATTCCATAAAACACACATCGACTTCCTGGGCTACCGCATATCAGCAGATGGGCTGGAAATGGATCTGAGGAAAGTCAAAGATGTCGTGGGGTGGGAGGCACCTAAAACTCAAAGGCAACTACAAGCATTCTTAGGATATGCCAATTTTTATAGATCTTTTATCAAAAACTTCGCCCAAATTGCCCCCCCCCTCACTGACTTACTAAAAACCAAGGAGAAGGGGCCGTACGCCCGGGGGCGCCACTCACTTGGTCAAATGAATGCGAAGTGGCGTTCACTTGGTTGAAAGAACTTTTCGCATCCGAGCTGGTTTTGGCCCACCCCGACGAAACTAAAAAATTCATTGTTCAAACGGATGCGTCCAATGTGGCCATGGGGGGCCATCTTGCAGGTGGGGGAGGAGGGAATGTTGCACCCACTAGCTTATGTCTCTAAAAAAATTCTCGGATGCGGAGAGGCATTGGTCCGTTTGGGAAAAGGAGGCGGGGGCAATTAAGCTGGCATTGTCTACGTGGAGACACTGGTTGGAGGGGGCGAGCGTACCATTCGAGGTTTGGACTGATCACAAAAACCTCGAGACACTTAAAACCCCCAGGTGTCTAAATGCAAAACAACTTCGATGGGCTGATTTTTTTTCCAAGTTCAACTTCACGCTTCACCATTTCCCGGGGGCGGCTAACTCGTTAGCAGACGGACTATCGCGCCTCCCCCAGCACGCTAGTCAGTGGGACGTCATTGTAGACTCAATTTTCACTCCCGCCCAGTTGGGAGGGGCAGTCACCACTCGCAGTCAAGCGGCTAAGATCCCCGCCCCCCCGGCTCCCTCGTCAGCCCCGCCACCCCTATCTTCCCCTTGGCTAAATTCTTTCCTGACCGAGTTTGCGGATGATGCCACCATTGTACAAAGGGGGGGGGACTGTCACCAGGGGGAGAATGGCTGCTGGTATAAAGATGACAAATTGTATGTCCCCATTACTCTTCGCCAAAAGATTCTGGAATTGGTCCATGGGTCGAAGCTAGCGGGACACTCGGGATTTGTAAAATCCCTGCACCTGTTACAACGGCAATTTTGGTGGCCGCAAATGAGGAAAGACTTGTCAGCATTTGTTCAAACCTGTCAAATGTGTGCCATGAGTAAACCAGGGGGGGGGAACCACCTGGTCTTTTACACCCCCTCCCTACACCTAACAGACCGTGGGACGTGGTATCAATGGATTTTATCACCGACTTTGCCCCCCAGCAAAAATAAAACGGTTGTTGTGGACATGTTTTCGAAGCAGGCACATTTTGTACCTTTCCCTTCTCTCCCCACAGCCAAGGCATTGGCAAAGGCATTTTTTGTGAACATTGTGCGACTCCATCTCCTACCGTCCAAGGTGGTCTCCGACAGGGGAACCCAATTTGTTTCCAAATTTTGGAAGGAACTGATGGAAATTATGGGGGTGGAGAGGGGCTTGAGTAGTGGTTACCACCCAGAGACTGATGAACAAACGGAACGGGTGAACCAAACTTTGGAACAATACTTGAGGTGTTTCACAAACTATCAACAAGATGACTGGTGTGATTTATTACCATTGGCTGAGTATTGCTACAATAACAACTGTCACGCGTCTCTTTGCATGTCTCCTTTTAAGGTGGCTTATGGTTATGACAGCCCCCCCTTACCATTTCTGGAGGGGCAACAAACTTTGAGTTCCAGTGATGCCAGCTCGTGGTGCAAAGGACTACAGCAAGCTTGGCCTTTGTTATGTAAGACATTGGAGGCGGCCAAAGCTGCCTACAAGAAGCAGGCTGATAGAGGAAGGGTGGAGGGTTGGGCTCTACGGCCTGGTGACTTTGTTTACGTGTCTACTAAAAACATCAAAATGCTTCGTCCTAGTTGAAAACTTGGTTGGAAATTTATTGGACCTTTCAAAGTACGGAAAGTAATTAATGAGGTTGCTGTGGATGTTGAACTCCCCAAGAACTTAAGGTCTTTGCATTCTGTATTTCATTTCAGCCTCCTCAAGAAGGATAATGGGTCTTGCCCTTGGCGCCAGGAACATCCCCCCCCCCCCGTTTTCGTGGATGGCGAAGCTCATTACGAGATTGCAAGCATTTTGGACTCTAAAATGAAAAGTGGAAAACTCTTCTACTTGGTGGAATGGGCTGATTTTGGACCCCAGCACTGTGAATGGGTGGAAGTAGGGGATATTCTGGCCCCTAACATGCTCAGAGACTTTCACCGGGAGTTCCCGGAGACACCGGGAGGTCTCCCGGCCTGACCGGGAGGTGGGTGGATGGGAAGTATTTTCGAGGGGGCAGTATGTCAGCAAGCTGCCAATGAGTTCTGTGTGTGTTTAAACTCTACCCCGAGTTCCCCCTCTTTTTGCGCATTTCTTATGCATTTCTTTCTATGTACGCTAGTGTTGCTTTCAAGCGCCGTAATCAGCAAGGTCGCAGGTGGAGACGAGTCGGCTTTGCTTAGTCTATAATGAGCTAGGTTGTGGGAAGAGTATAATTGTTTATCTTTTTAGAACCGTTGCTTCCCAAGCTTTGGGCGCGAGTTTGCAAACCCACCCGTGTGAGCGGGAACCATGTCCATTGATTACAGCTAGTATGAATCGCTTTATTATTTCCTTTATTCTAAACAGTGCTTGTGTTCCAGCATTATCATGGCTTCAATAAAATAATACTTTGCGACAAATGTGTATTCTGTTGAAAGCTGTGGTTCCTGACAATTACAAAGGTTATGAAAAGACATAATGCATAAAGATTCATAAATATAATCAAAATCATGAATATGAAACATCTTTCCTCTCCTGTGTGTGTCCTTTGGTGGGACGTTAGTTCACCACTCTTACGGAACCTTTTCCTACATGGCAGGCATATATATGGTTTCTCCCTTGTGTGAATACTTTGATGGGAAATAAGACTGCAACTCACAGTGAAGGTTTTTCCACACTACAAGCATTTATTAGGTTTTCTCCCTGGTGTGAATTCTTTGTTGTGAGTAAGACCGGAACTCCAATTGAAGCTTTTCCCACACTCCAGGCATTTATATGGTTTCTCCGCTCTGTGTATTCTTCGGTGAGAAATAAGATTGCAACTCACAGTGAAGCTTTTCCCACACTCCAGGCATGTATATGGTTTCTCCCCTACATGTGTCCTTCTTTGATGGGAAATAAGGCTGCTACTGTGACTGAAGCTTTTCCCACAGTCCAAGCATTTATATGCTTCCTCCCCTGTGTAAATTCTTTCATGGGAAGTAAAACTGAAACTGTGATTGAAGCTTTCCCCACACTCCAGGAATTTTTATTTCTTCTCCCCTGTGTGAATTCTTTCATGAGAAGTAAGACTGTAATTGTGACTGAAGCTTTCCCCACAGTCCAGGCATTTATATGGTTTCTCCCGTGTGTGTGTCCTTCGGTGGGAAGTAAGGTCTGTACTCCAACTGAAACTTTTCCCACAGTCCAGGTATTTATATGGTTTCTCCCCTGTGTGAATTCTTTGATGGGAAATAAGAATGTTACTCTGAATGAAGCTTTTACCACACTCCAGGCATTTATATGGTTTCTCCCCTGTGTGTTCTTTGGTGGGAGGTAAGGTGTCCGCTCTTTCTGAAGCTTTTCCCACACTCCAGGCATTTAAATGGTCTCTCCCCTGTGTGTATTCTTTGATGGGAAGAAAGGTGTGAATTCTGACGGAAACTTTGTCCACAATCCAGACATTTATATGGTTTCTCCGCGGTGTGAATTTTCTGATGGACACTGAAGTTTGAAGGATAACTGAAGCTTCTCCCACACTCCAGGCATTTATATGGTTTCTCCCCAGTGTGAACTCTTTGATGGGAAGTAAGATTGCTACGGTGATTGAAACTTTTCTGACACTGCAGGCATTTATATTTCTTCTCTCCTGTGTGTGTCCTCTGGTGGGAAGTAAGGCCTGCACTCCAACGGAAACGTTTCTCACACTCCAGGCATTTATATGGTTTCTCCCCTGTGTGAATTCTTTGATGGAAAGTAAGGTGTGATTTCTGACCAAACCTTTTCCCACACTGCAGGCATTCATATGGTTTCTCTCCTTTGTGAATTCTTTGATGGGAAGTAAGGCTTCCACTGTAACTGAAGCTTTTCCCACCCTCCAGGCATTTATATGGTTTCTCCCCTGTGTGAATTCTTTGATGGAAAGTAAGGTGTGATTTCTGACCAAACCTTTTCCCACACTGCAGGCATTCATATGGTTTCTCTCCTTTGTGAATTCTTTGATGGGAAGTAAGGCTTCCACTGTAACTGAAGCTTTTCCCACCCTCCAGGCATTTATATGGTTTCTCCCCTGTGTGAATTCTTTGATGGAAAGTAAGGTGTGATTTCTGACCAAACCTTTTCCCACACTGCAGGCATTCATATGGTTTCTCTCCTTTGTGAATTCTTTGATGGGAAGTAAGGCTTCCACTGTAACTGAAGCTTTTCCCACCCTCCAGGCATTTATATGGTTTCTCCCCTGAGTGAATTCTTTGATGCAAAGTAAAGTTTGATTTCTGACCAAACCTTTTCCCACACTGCAGGCATTCATATGGTTTCTCTCCTTTGTGAAATGTTCGATGGGAAGTAAGGCTTCCACTGTAACTGAAGCTTTTCCCACACTCCAGGCATTTATATGGTTTCTCCCCTGTGTGAATTCTTTGATGCAAAGTAAAGTGTGATTTCTGACCAAACCTTTTTCCACACTCGAGGCATTCATATGGTTTCTCTCCTTTGTGAAATCTTTGATGGGAAGTAAGGCTTCCACTGTAACTGAAGCTTTTCCCACACTCCAGGCATTTATATTTCTTCTCCCCTGCGTGTGTCCTTTGGTGGGAGATAAGGCCTGCATTCTGACGGAAACTTTTTCCACACTCCAGGCATTTATATGGTTTCTCCCATGTGTGAATTTTCTGATGGACACTGAAGTTTGAAGTATCACTGAAGCTTTTCCCACACTCCAGGCATTTATATTTCTTCTCCCCTGCGTGTGTCCTTTGGTGGGAGATAAGGCCTGCATTCTGACGGAAACTTTTTCCACACTCCAGGCATTTATATGGTTTCTCCCATCTCCTGAGTGAATTCTTTGATGGGAAGTAAGGTTTCCACTTTGACTGAAGCTTTTCCCACACTCCAGGCATTCATATGGTTTCTCCCCTGTGTGAAATTTCTGATGGCTACTGAGCTGTGAACTAAAACTGAAGCTTTTCCCACACTCCAGACATTTATATGGTTTCTCGCCTGTGTGAACCCTTTGATGGGAAGTAAGAGCAGAACTCTGACTGAAACTTTTCCAACACTGCAGACATTTATATTTCTTCTCCCCTCTGTGTGTCCTTTGGTGGGAAGTAAGGTCTGCACTCTGATGGAAACTTTGTCCACACTCCAGACATTTATATGGTTTCTCCCCTGAGTGAACTCTTTGATGGGAAGTAAGACAGGAACTCTGACTGAAACTTTTCCCACACTCTAGGCATTTATATGGTTTCTCCCTTGAGCGAACTGTTTGATGGGAAGTAAGACAGGAACTCTGACGGAAACTTTTCCCACACTCTAGGCATTTATATGGTTTCTTCCTTCTGTGGATTCTTTCATGAGAAGTAAGTCGCACTCTCTGCCTGAAACTTTTCCCACACTCCAGACGTTTATATATTTTCTTTTTGCTACACTTCCTTTGTTGAATATTAATAACTGATATTGCAGTGAAACTTTCGCTGCTTGCAGTGCACTCATTCCTACTGTCTCCTTGAGTTATGTTTTGCCATGGAGAATCACCCCCCTGTAAAAGACTGGAACTATTCCTCCCTTTGGGTGGGTGTTTTCCCTCCTCCTTCTTTGGTGCATCCAAATATTACCTGGTGTGAAGATATGACATTTCCCACAATTTTCAGTCCAGTAGCATTTAAAGACTAACTAGGTATTTCAGATATAAGGTTTTGGAGCCAAAGCTCCCTTCATCATGTCTGATTCAGAATGGAAATTTCTCAAGTCTTTATATCCCAGTATGAGGTTGGGACAGGTGTGGTAAAAAAGGAACTCAAGATGCAGAAGTACCATGCACATTGCAATTAGCTGGATTAGAACAAAGGAGAAATGCTTAGGGAAAGCACA